CGAATTCCATCCTTTCGGCGGAGAGGGGTCTTCTTCGTTGTTGTACTGCTTTTGCCGAGGGGTCCACCGAGAGGCGGTGGGTGATGACCCTTCGGCTGATTCCCGGCATGTCCTCCGGCCCCCATGCAAAGACAGTGGAGTAGGCGCGGAGGGCGTCGGTGATACCGGTCTTCAGATCTTCAGGGAGCTGGGCTCCAATCTTCATGACTCTCTCCGGCTTGGCCGGATCGAGTGTAAAGTCTTCTACGTCCTCGGCTGGTTCAGCCCTCGGCCTCTTTTCTTCTTGGTCGATGGTTCCGGTGATGGTGTCAACACGGAATTCCGTCTTACTTACCTTCTTGGTGACTTGAAGATAGCAGGCGCGGGCGATTTTCTGATTCCCCCGGGAGTAGCCAATGGCCCCTCGGCGGGAAACTTGAGGCAGAGGTGCCTCATGGAGATGATGGCCTCGAGGTCCTCGAGGGCTGGCCGGCCGAGGATGATGTTGTGGGCGCAGTCGATGTTGACGACGACGAACTCCACTTCGAGCTGGGCTCTATGGAGCCCGTCGCCGAAGATCACCGGGAGGGTTATTACCCCTTCGGAATCAATAGTATCGCCGGTGAAGCCGGCAAGAGGGGTCTTAATGGGCCGAAGGGACCCCCTCTCCAGATGCAGCTCTCTGAAGGTGCTGAGGTACATTACATTGACGGAGCTGCCCGTGTCAATGTAAGTTCGGTGAATGATGGTGTCGTTTATTTCAGTCCGAATCACCAAGGCATCCCTGTGAGGAGAAGAAGTAGGAGGGAGATCTGCGTTGGTGAAGGTGATGGGTTCCTCCCTCAGCCGCTTTACCGGGGGCATATGGGTGACTTCCCCCACGTAAAGAGATTGAGCCCACTTTTTCCGCTGACTGGTGGAATCGCCCCCTGTATTGCCGCCGGTGATTATGAGGATGTGGCGTTTTTTCTCTTGGTAGTGGGGGTACTCCTCCTCTTCCTCCTCCAAGTTTCCGATCTCCCTCTTCTTGCCGAGGGGGATGGTGTTCGGGTTCACCCAAGCGTTCACCTTCGTGTGGTGCCCTCGGGGAGGTCCCTGATGAGAAGGTCCCTCCTGCCGAGGGCTCTGAACAAATTGGGACAGGTGCCCCGCTTGTATCAGTCTCTCGATGGCCGTTTTTAGCTGGTGGCAGTCATCGGTTCTGTGCCCCTGGTGCCGATGGAAGCGACAGTATGGGAACTGAGGGTTGATAGCATGTACCTCCGGGGGTGCGCGAGAATCGCGCTCAACGAGACCCCTCTCCTCGGCAAAATCAAGGATGATGTTGACGGGGTGCGTCAATGGTGTCCGGGGGCGGTCCAGGAGAATGGGCTGTGCCCAAGTCTTAGGGTTGCTCTTATAACCTCCCCCGGGCTTGGCTTGGCCTTGCCGAGGGCGATCATCAGAGGGTCCTGAAGACTTAGGGTGATTTGGAGGAGCCCCCGGCCCCCGATTGTTCTTGTTGTCAGCCCTCGGGGGCTGCTGATCCGGATGCTGGTGGTATTTCTCCACCTCCTCGGCCTCAGCATATCGGTCCCCGCACTGCAAAGCCCTTATGTAGTCGCGGGGGGGTTCAATGATGAGGCTCCTTGAAAAGTTGCCAGTGCGGAGGACGGTCTGTAGGAGGGCCAGGAGGGTCCCGTCATTAGCACCGTCTACTTTGTCGGCCTCCGTCCTCCAGCGCTCCAGGAAGTCCCGAAGGGTCTCATCCCTCTTCTGGCGTATGGTTAGGAGGTGGGAGAAGTGCTTCCTCGTGCGACGCCTCCCGACAAATTGTGTCAAGAATCGCTGGGCGAGTTCTTGCCACGAATCAATGCAGCCCTCGGGCAACCGGTTGAACCATTCGTATGCCGACCCCTCTAAGGTGGAGAGGAACCAACGACGCAAATATTCGTCCGATGCCCCTACCATCATCATGCTGTTCTGATATTTGTTGTAGTGTTCCTGGGGGTCCGTCTTCCCGTTGTAGGGTTGTATGTGTTGCCCTCGGTATTTTTCCGGGATCCGGGCCGCCAGTACCCTTGGGGTAAATGGCGTCCGGGTCCGGAGCTGGATGACGGGTTCCCGGGAGCCCTCGGCCACCTTCTTCTGTAATTCCTCCATTTTGGCCATCATGGCCTCGTATTTGAGGTCTGAATGAGGGGTGGAGGTGGTGGCGTGAGCTTTGTTGGCCTCCATTTCATCAAGCCGGCGTTGGAGGGCCGCAATAATTTCGTCCCGGGGATCCTTCGGGAGGGTCTCCGCCCCCTGCGAACGAACCCGGGCCGAGTGGGCCTGATTGATTTGGTGGCGAGCATCATCGGCATGAAGGGGTGCCTTGCCTTTGTCCCGAGGGGGACGCTCCTCGTCTGCCCTCGAGACATACCCTCCGCTTTCCTGGGGCCTTTGGAGTGCTTTCCCTCCGAGGCGGTCTTGGACCCCTCGGCGGTCTGGCCCTCCTCCGAGCCGGTTGAGGGCGGAAGTGCGGGGCCTTTCTCTGTTGTCATTGTGGCGGTCCCGGGACTGAACTTCCTGGGAGGCCGTATCTTGGGCCACTACCCCTTCGTCATTCCTTACCCGAGGGATGGGGTTTCCGAAAGGGTGTGGCAGAGGGGGAAGTACGATGTTCTCCCCGACCTGGGGTTGAGCCGGAACCAGGGTGCCGAAGGCACCTGGGTTCTGAGTGAGCGTCTGGATGAAGGCAGAGAGCGCCGATTGAACGTCGATGGTGAGAACTGGAGGGCTGACTTGGTCGTCGCTCCAGTTTTTCTTTTTGGCCTCGATGCCGAGGCGGGCATCTGGGGCATTCTATTGGATCTGAAGGCGAAGGTCGACAGCCGCCTGTTCCAGCCCAGCGATGACACCGCCCTCGGGAGCCCTGTGAGAGGCTTCGGGGGCGTTGACGTCGCCGAGGGCCAGGTTCTTGTCTTCTACGTTTTTGGAGTTGGCACGTGTTGTTCTCACCATTTTGGTAGAGGGCTAGTGTTTGGCGAAGGGGGAGAGTTTCTTACTTGATCGTTCGATCTCTCAACGAGAGCACCAAATGATGGATAGTGTACCCGGGGGGTAGCTTATCCGAGGGGTTATTGCGGAGAATAACTAGAGAGAAGTCAGAGCAAATAAGTAAGAGAGAGAGTGTATATTCGATCTGTATTCAGCGTGGTTACAAATGGGGAAATGGGGTGCTATTTATAGTAGCAATAAATGCCGGACAGGGACACGTGTCAAGCGCCCATTGGCCGAGAGGTCACTTCAACTGGTTGGCGTTGGCAGCCGCATGTGGCCGCATTTAATGCGGCTGTTGGATGGGACGTCTGTACAGGGTACGGTGATCTGTACGCATGTGAGGCGGATATCATGTCGGGAGAGGTGCCCTCGGCTGCAGAGGACTAGCCGAGGGCTCTTAGTGCCGAGGACCCCTGAGTGCCGAGGGCTCCAGGTGCTGAGGGCTACTGTTTTCGCCGTGTTCTCCAAGTTCCTCTGTTTGTTCGAAATATCCACGCTGTGATAGTTTGGAGCCTTCGGCCAGGGGGCCGAAGGCACCCCTGGTGCGTATTGCGTGCTGCTTGGTACCCTGGTCGCTGTGATTTGGGCCTGCTTGAGCTTCCTGGGCCGGTTGGGCCTTCATTGGTGTAGTAGGAGTCTGTGGGCCGGGTGTTCCCGGGCCATATACTCCATCAGAGGGAGTATATAATATTATATATATATTGTATAATATATATATATATAAATATAAATATAAATATATATATATATATATATATATATATATATATATATATATATATATATATATATATATATATATATATATATATATATATATATATATATATATATATATATATATATATATATATATAGAATTAGGTTCAAGTGAGAAAATGATCTTAGGAGAGAAATGAGAATGAATCTCGACCGTTAGATTGTATTCTGTTAAATTTAATGTGCATCAAGTGAAACTGAAACGTGCATTAGATGAAATCGAAATGTGCAACACAAAAGGTCAGACAAAGTCGGATTATGTGTAGTTGAATTGTGCATTGGGCAAAACTGAAATGTGCACTAGGTGAATCTGAAATGTGCAGAATAAAAACTATGATGTAGTGGTATTTTTGTGCCTTTTACTCTGCACATTTTAATTTCACGTAATGCACACTTGAGTTTTATTTTTCATTCCGCATATTTCAATGTCACTTAATGCACGTTTCAGTTTTACCAAATGCACAATTCAATTTCACATAATACAATCCAACGGTCCAGATTCATTCTCATTTCTCTCCTAGGAGACCATTCTCACTGGAACCATCCCCTATATATATATATATATATATATATATATATATTAAATGACTTTTTGGAGATCATGTCCATTCGGAGGGACAGAACCCTCCGTCTGGCCGCCTCCGTTTGTCGTGGCTTCCAGTGGAATTTTTGGATGATATTTTTTGATCATATTCATCATCAAGTCTAGTTTATCTACAAAACATTTCAGCTAAAAATTTGAGCGAGAAGGCGGTCAAATATATTTTTGAAGATAACTGCACTAAATATACATATAAAGCACAATTATTTTCCAAAAGTCATTTGAATACCTTCCTAATTGAATTTTTAGCTGAATTTTTGTGTGGACAAATTAGACTTTATGAGGAACATGCTAAAAATTTTCATCAAACAATTTTACCGGGAACCTCCCTAAATGGCGACATCCGGACGACGGCTCCTGCTCCAAGTAGCTTAGAGCAGCTTATAAGTGACTTTGCTCATTTGCACTCCTACTTACGCCCTATTTTGTTTTGGTCATGCTTGGTGTACACAAAATGTGTACATCGCCTGTGTACACAGGTAATTGGATATCAAATTGTGTCCTTTTTCTAAATGAATTCTCCATGTACATGAACAACTAAGAAGAGTTTTGTATAGGGTTTGGGTACAACTCACGTGCACCGACCATTTTTCATTTTATTTCTTCTAATTGACCGTCATGACTCACGGCACGTCAGTCAAGCCTGTTGATCCTTTAAGCCTCCGTTTACAATGGAGCACATAATTGTGTGTGCTTCAACTCCGCATTTCCTTCTTCTTCCTGCTGTTTCCAGCTTTCAACTTCTCCCTCTTCCCTTTTCACTTTTAATAGCGCAAGTCTTCCCCAGAATCTAGAGCTGAAACAGTAGGCTTTGATTTTCTCAGTGAGGAATCCATTATTTGGGTCAGATTTTGCGAGTTTTCATTTTCTTCTGGAGTTCGACATTCCGGATTTGCACAGCCTTAGATTCACTACCTGGGTATGTTTCATCTTTTACTTGCACTCAACGTATTTAAGTCCTCGACAGCTACTGGTTCGATCTGTTTACACTATTCAAAGAGTGCGAAGTTATAATTGCTGGGAAATGTTTTGAATTTCCGTTTTGATAGGGGAATGTTTAGAGTAATGTCTTCGTATAGAAAAGGTAGAATCAAAGATGCTGCTTTTCGACGGTTGCTATCTCTGATTCTTATAACTGTATTAGGGTTACTATTATTGTTCTTATTGCTACTTAGGACCAAAACAATTGGCGCTATTATCACCAGCTATAGAAACGAGGGTTTCGAAAATTTCGAAATTAAGGACTTTGAGACAGACCCCAAAAAGAAATCAAAGTTGAATCTTCCCAAACAAAACAAATTGTCGATCTCATTGGATTTGAGAAACCAGTTGCCCCCCAAAAACATTGATTTGTACCCTAAGCTAGCAAAGGATCATATAGTGATTGTTCTGTATGTTCATAATCGACCCAAGTATCTACAAGTCGTAGTTGACAGCCTTTCCCGAGTTTCAGGGATCAGTGAAACCCTACTGATTGTAAGTCATGATGGGTACTTTGATGAGATGAACAAGATTGTGGAAGGGATCAATTTCTGCCAAGTCAAACAAATATTCTCCCCATACTCCCCTCATATATTTAATGACAGTTTTCCTGCAACATCACCACGAGATTGTAAGGATAAAGATGACCCAGCTGAGAAGAACTGTGAAGGGAATCCTGACCAGTACGGAAATCACAGGTCACCAAGGATTGTGTCTTTGAAGCATCATTGGTGGTGGATGATGAACACTGTTTGGGATGGACTAAAAGAAACCCACAATCACGCGGGCCATGTTCTCTTCATAGAAGAGGACCATTTCATTTTCCCGAACGCGTACCGGAATTTGCAACTCCTTGCAAAACTAAAAGCCTTGAAGTGTCCAGAATGTTATGCAGTGAATCTAGCGCCATTGGACGTGAAGTCAAGGGGGGAGGGATGGGAGATTTTAGTAGCTGAGCGGATGGGAAATGTGGGGTATGCTTTTAACCGAACCGTTTGGAAAAAAATACACGAAAAGGCGGGAAAGTTTTGTATGTTTGATGATTACAATTGGGACATAACAATGTGGACTGTGGTTTACCCTTCATTTGGTCAACCAGTTTACACATTGCGTGGACCCAAGGCGAGTGCTGCTCATTTCGGGAGATGTGGGTTGCATCAAGGGGCAGATAATGGTGCCTGTATAGATGATGGTTCAGTGACGTTTGATCTTCAAGAAGATGATAAGATAGTGAACATAAAATCGGATTGGGGAGTGCACTTGCACGCACACCAAACGGGGTATCAGGCTGGATTTAAAGGTTGGGGAGGATGGGGAGATAGACGGGATCGTCAATTGTGTTTGGAGTTTGCTGTGATGTATGCTTGAGGTTTGTTTTTGTTTCTTTTTTTCTAATCACTTACTTACATATATGGGAACACGTGAGGATATAAACTTAAGGGAAGATGTCTCATTGTCTTGGTTCTTTTACATGTTTTGTCAAGATACCATGAACAATCATAGTTGCTATAGTACTACCTCCGTCCCTTAAAACTTTGCCAAAGTTGACCGGCACGGAGAATAACAAAGTAAAAACCGTGTGGTTGAAGTTTGTGCAGAGGAGAGAGAAATAACAGAAACCACAAAAAAATTGATTAAAAGGGAAAGTGGTAAAGTTTTTTGGGACGTCCAAAAAAGGAAAGATGACAAAGTTTTAAGGGACGGAGGGAGTATTTTTCTAAACCTAGTTTTCTTTAAATCTTTCATTTTCTTTACATAGCAGTTTTCCAAATGTTTGTCACTTTGTTGATTTTTGTGTGCTTAGGCTTCACTTATAAATCACTGTCATTCAATTGTTTTATTTAAGTCTTATTCCGTGAGTTTATCAAACCATGTTTGGATATATATATATATATACGAAGTGTATATATATATATATATATATATAGAGAGAGAGAGAGAGAGAGAGAGAGAGAGGATGGTTCAAATACAAAGACCTCTTCCCATGCAAAGTGAGAATGAATCTTGTGCCTTCATTTCCACATCTAATGGTTCAAAATGAGTCAAAAATGCACAAAATTCGACCAAAATCACGGTGGCAATTTCGTAAATATGTTGCACTTTTTCGTAACCACGAAAAAGTGCAACAAAAACATGCAAAAGTGCAAGCGAAACATGCAAAAGTGCATATCTTCGCACTTTGCACGGGAAGATGTCTTTTTATTTGAACTCTTCCCTATATATATATATATATATATGAGTAGTCTCAAGGTCAGGAAATTCATGACTGGAGCCTGTCTCACCACCTCATTTTGAGGTGGTTCCCGGTGAATTTTTTTGCTCAAATTTTGTGAGCATGTTCCTCATAAAGTATAGATGATGTCAACCAAATTTCAGCAAAATTTCAATCAGGAAGGCAGTCAAATGACTTTTTGAAGATAACTGCGCCAAAATATACATATAAAACACAGTTATTTTCAAAAATTTATTAGAATGCCTTCCTGATTGAATTGTTTTCTGAAATTTGGTGGATATCATCGACACTTTCCCTTTCCCTAGGCAGGGTGAAACGTAGGACTGAACTTGATGGACTTTTTCTCAAAAAGCAATGAATTGCTTTTATAGAAGGCAAGAGATTCTCTTATGTCTCAATCTTTGTACGTTTATGCTGCTGCAAACTTCATGGGGAACATGCTACAAATTTTCAGCAAAAAATATCGCCAGGAAGCACCTCAAAACAAGGTGGCCGGACGGCGCTCGGGTAAGGAAATTTCTGACCAGGATATTTGTTTATATGTGTATATATACATATGTATACATACATATGTGTATATGCATACATACATACATATGTGTATATGCATACATACACATGTTTGTATATGTATAGGAAAAAGATCATGTCCATCCTTCCAGACAGGATGCTCCCTCTGGCCACCACTGTTTCAGGTGGTTCCCGGTGGAATTTTTTGATAAAATATTTTGAACATGTTCTTCATAAAATCTAGTTTATTCACCCCAAATTCCAGCTTAAAATTCGATCCGGAAGGGAGTCAAATAAAATTTTGAAAATAGTTGCGTTTTATATGTATATTTTGACGTTGTTATCTTCAAACAATTGTTTAACTGCCTTCCCGATTGAATTTTAAACTGAAGTTTAATGTGAATAAACTAGACCTGACGAAGAATATGCACAAAAAAGTCATAAAAAAATACCACCTTACCGCCCTAAACGGCGGCGGCCGGGTGGTGACTTGTAAAGTTCTTGCCAATATGGCAATATAAAGTCCTTGCCATATTGGCAATAAGCAATGTTGTAACTTGTAAATAGCTCTGAACATTGGTGTGGTGTCAAAATAGGAATTGCTCAGAAGACCTGTTCCGCTTCCTCCTATCTCCCATTGATGTACTGATACTTGTCTACTCTGGCCCGGGTCCTGGTGGTTCGGTGCGCCGGCGCCTATAATTTCTTTTCATAAAATAATTATGCAAATGTACACTAATGGAAAATACAATAATTTTATTTATTCTTGAATCAAAATAGTACCCACAAAGTCAATCAATATGGAAAAAGTACAAATATTTAGAGTGCGTGTGGTAATCATGTTTTTCGTCTTATCAGATTTATTAACTATTTTTTTTCATCAAACACATAATTTTCTATTTCGTGAGTTGAATTGTGTAAAAATAAGAGAACAAAAGGTTGAATTTACTTTTTTGGTTATATTGGCTGAAGTTAATGTAGATGAGCATTTTAGCTATTTTTAGTATAATTTTCTTTATTTTATTAATTGTTACATAAATTAGTAGAATCAATCAATCTAGCAACTTCATTCAGAGTTTCACGGAGAGAATATAAGGGTCTGTTTACTAACAGAGATATTTTCCAGTTTTTCAGAAAACTGGAAAACTAGAAAACAGAAAACAGGAAACGCGTTTACCAAAGAAAATTGCTGGAAAACTGGAGAAAGGAAAATAGAAAAACGCGTTTACCAAACCGTTTTCCAAAACGAAAAAAATGAGACATGTCTCTCTTTTCCTTAATGATTTGGAGAAGTGACTTTTACTAGATTTCCAAATGTGGAAAACGCAGATGCAACAGGCCGCTGCAATGAATTTGCATACTTTAACCTAGTGGTGGGTCGGTCCCGCTCCGATGTCGATTCCATTCTAGTACCTCCATCCTCATTCCTTACCCCTTACCCCTACCCTACCCCATCCTACCCACCCAACCCCCACCCCGCATACCCCTTTTCCCTACAATGACCCTACCCCACCCTCTACCACATGCCCCTACATCGGTCCCACCCTGATCCACCCTACCCTACCACCACCCCTACCACCTCAACCCCACCCTGACCCACCCTACCCCCACCTCGTATATCACCCCTTACCCCTACCTTACCCCTTCCCACATGCCCCTTACCTCGGCCCTACCCTACCGCTACCCCCCACCACCATGCTACCCCCCACCCTACCTCGGCCCCACCCTACTGCCATCCTATCCCAACTCCCTAACCTACCCCTACCTTACCCCAACCCCAACCCCACTCACTACCCCCACTCTTACCCCTAACCACCACCCTAACCCACCCACTACCTAACCCAACCCGTACCCCTAGACCTTACTACCCCTCCCCCAACCATAACCCCTTACCCCACTCCCACCCACCCCCACCCATACCTTCCTTCCCTACCCTGACCCCTATGAGTAGGTGTGGGTGGGTATGAAGGGTTTTAGGGGAGTATGGGTAGAGTGTAAGATCGTGGTAAGGGTAGGGGTATGGGTCAAGGGTGTGGAATTGGGTGTAGGGTGTAGGGTGGGGGTATGAGGTATAGGGGCAGGGTAGGGGTTAGGAGTATGGGTACACGTACGAGGTGATCGATCCCACATATTATATTATATATTTGTGTTCATGAATGTTTGTGTGTCTATATATGTATAGGGTTATTTTGGACATTTTAATGTTGAACGGTGTTTTAAACCTTTTGAAGTAAACATTATCTTATAACATTGCTTATTTTATGCGTCGCTTATTAACATGAGTCTTAATAAGCACCATTTAGTAACCTGTGAAGTAAAGTGTCAGTCTTCTGGATGATCACAGTACTGGGTGAAAAAATTGATGAACATGTTTTCATATTTGAAAATGGAAAACTAGAAAATAGAAACAGAAAACTGGAGATAGAAAAATTGAAAAATAAAAATAGAAAAGTGAAGAACGAAAAACAGAAGTAGAAAACAGGAAAATATCTCTGTTAGTAAACATGCCCTAATACTCCAAAATCTTGGACATGACAGTTTTTTAGAGAATGAAGTATCATTGACTGACATAGATTATTTAATGAGATTATTTAATACAATAATATGGGATAAGCATGTAAAAAAAACGGCCCGCAAAGACCCGCCCTGGACCGAGACATTTGGGTCGGGTCCAACCTGTCATATCCCATCATGCGAATGGGGCAGGTCCGTTCTGCCCCGCCAACACAATGGGGTGATTTGGGTATTAGTATTGACCTGTGTCGCCCTAACTCGCCCCGATCAATATATACTATATACACTTTTAAAAAATTATACTACAAATATACATATACATATGTTTATATAATACTCCGTATGTCATAAATTCTTTGATCTTATAACATATTAATATTTATATTTGACTGAGATAAATGGGGAACTGTCAATGTCTTTATATATATATTGTTGGTCCAAAATAGGACGCTCGTAGGCTTTTAGGAAAACTACGTACGACACTCAAGCAAGAATTGGGAAAGTACGAATATGGAAAGTTAGCCAGAAATAGCATATCTCATTTGAAATTCGGACTTGCCTTTTATAGACGATTACAAATGGTAACTGCCAGAGACACTAATGACTAATTAATTACAACATTAATACAGAATTAAACACATAATTAATAGCGCACTGATTGTTGGCCGTTACTCTTCCTGGCTGGCAGGTCAGCCTGGCTGGCAGGCTGGACGCTTGAGCTCCCTCCTGCTGGACTGGACGGTGGGCTTCCCGCTAGGCTGGAGGAAGGCTTTTGACCGGGCTGGAGGCAGACTCCCGGGTAGGTTTGAAGGCAGGCTCCCGGGTAGGCTGGAAGGCAGGCCCCCCGTTGGGCTGGAGGCAGGCTCCCACCTGGGCTGGACCGCAGGCTCCCAGCTGGGCTGGTGGTCGGTAGGCTCCTGGCTAGGCTGGAAGGCAGGCTCCCCACTGGGCTGGAAGACAGGCTCCCCACTGGACTGGAAGGCAGGCTCCCCACTGGGCTGGAAGGCAGGCTCCCCGCTGGGCTGGTCGACAGGCTCTCTTGGGCTTCCGCTCCTTGATTGCCCTGATTGGTTGGGCCGACTCGAGCTCTGGGTTGCTGGGCTTGGGCCTGCTGGTCCAAGTTCGGGGCCTGGGCCGATTAGGCTCTGGGCCTGGTCCCATAACCCCATCACGAGTCCCCCACTCCCTTAGTCGAGTAGTAGACTCGGGTAAGAGGGAGTAGTTCAGGTCAGCTGTCCATTAAAAAATATTCACATATCAGGGAGCCATAATTGTGGATTATGTGAATTCCGGAGTTTATGGAAATTCCCAAATTAAATCAGGCTCCCAAAAAAGGCTCCAAATAAATTCCTACCTTTTCTTTTCTTTTCTTTTTTTTTTTGCTTTTCCTTTCTTTTCTTTTCTTCCTTTCTTTTCTTTTCTTTCCTTTTCTTTTTCTTTCCTTTCTTTTCTTCTTCCTCTCTCTCCTGGAACCCTGCGTGCGTGCGTCTTCTCCTAGCCGTCCCAGCGCCGCAACGTAGTAAACCCAACGTGGACCGCCGTATGTGGCCTTGACCTCCCTGCCTCGCCGGGCTCTCCACCAGCCGGCGGTTTTTCCGTGGCGGCCGACGGTGACAGGCTCGAGTCGGCCGGCTTCCGGCGCCGGTCTACGAACCGTCCAGGTCAGGCGGCCAGGCGGCCACTGCTATGCACTTCAGATTTGAAAGCGACGGGCCAGGTTGGAGCCACAATTCCCTGGGGTTCCGCGTTCTCCGGCGGTCGTCTGGGTGCTCCTTCCTCCGGGCGGTAAGGTGCTGCCGCCATCTTCTTTTCTTCTTGCTTTGCACTGACGGAGACCAGGCACGCACAGGGGTCCAGCGCCGCCGTCCTCCTAGCTTGCTGTTGGCCGTTTGTGGCGCGACGCTTCAGGCTGGCGACCGGGCTTCAGTGGCTGCAGGGCCCTTCTGGGTGAACGCCCGTCAATGCGGGACCCTTGCAAACTTAGAACCTTGACCTTCTATCAGGCTGGCGACTCCCCAGTCCACTGTACATCCGTGGCTGCCCGGGTGTCGTCCTGAACTCCGGCAGATCTGGTACGTGGGTCTGGAATCCAACTGTCCGGCGCAACCTGCATGGATTGGTGGCCAAGCACAGGGTCAGCGTCTGCATCACAGGTCGGGTTACCTGCCTCACCGGACCCATCAGCTCGTGGTCGTTCTGCACTGCTGACCGGCGGCCGGCAACGTCCCTGGCGGTTGCCTTCCCCATTCTTGGATACTTGATCAACATTTGATTTTGAAGGATGGTACTATGATTCTTTACCTATTGGCCGAGCCCTTCATCTCATGATCGTGTGGGAAAGCAGAGCTTTTAGGATGAATGAGGCCCCAAGGTTGGATGCTCTCTTACAACCCATAATTTCCTTTCTGTAGCCTGTAGGTCGGGTGATTGTGCCTTGCTGGTTGTGGTCTGATGCCATCGTCTTGTGTGGGCTGGACGCGCCGGGAACATTGATCGATAATGGTGAAAACCCTATCTCCCATGTACTCCATATGGGAGCTTCGTGAAGAGGAGAATCGACAAGAGAGAGGCTGACCTCACCCTTACCGATTCACTTTCGTTTTTTTTAATATTCTGATGATAATTTTCTGTTGTTTGTAGGGTCTCAACGCTCGGGATGACCTGCTGAAGATTTTGTTCACGGCGGCAAGCACCAAGGCAATTGCGGGTTCTCATGCCCTCACGGAGATCCCCGAACGTGTGAAGGATCATGAGGACGAGAGAGCCCCACGGCGGGGAGCCTACCTTCAAGTTCGAACTTCGAAGCATGTAAGGCGGCAAGCGCCCCTATCGCGGAAACGGCGGTCAAGGCTTTCCCTCAGGAGTGCCCAACAATGTAAGTTGATTGCGACATAGTACTTGGGCGTTAGTCGCCAGTTGATGGTGGCGTAGTACCTGAGAGACGGCCAAGAGTGGACTGACCATGGCGATGACTAAGTTGACTTTCAGATTCTGGGAGAGTTCCTTAAGCTTTCTAGTAATTCCCGTGTCTGGATCATTGTACTTGATGACCATGGGAACATCCGGCCATGATTGTTGCACCCTTTTTTTTGTAGCTTGTAGCCACCATATGTAAAATTCGAATGAATATTACCTTTTAATTCATATGTTTCCTTTTATATACTTTGCATTACGAATACTTAGCAATTTATTCGGGGATCTGACTTCTCTAACCTCCCGGGGGGCGGTTAGGCTGGCGTGGCCGAGCCTATCCGTGCCCCTCCTAGTTGGATAGAAGTGATCTGTTCGCTATTGATATGGAATCAACAAGTAAGCGACTTGTTTGGCCAGCGAGGTCGGACATTGAACCGACGAGGAAGACCCTTAGGTCGGTATCCTGAACGTTCATGACCCGGGGGTCAGTCCTACTGTCACTTTAACCCATCCAGTTTGCCCGGATTTGGGGAATAATCTGGTTACTCCCGCATGGATAGCCAAACAACAGGGGCGGACCCTGCATGATCCACCAGAACGAACCCGCACCGCCAACTCAGGGATGACGAGAGTGCGAGCTGCTTGGCCAGCGATGTTAGGCGGCGAGCACTCGAAAGGACCCGGAGGTCAGCATCCTGAGTACCCTCGACCCGGAGGTTGGCCCTACCATCGCCTCGACTGTCGCGGCTAGCTCTTTACTTTAGAAAATTGCCCGGATTCTTGAAAATCGCTTGGCTATTTTCAGTTAAAGAGCTTGGCCGAGGTCGGCCAAACACCGAGGGGGGGGGGCATAGTACCTTTTTTTTTGCCCCCACCCTTTATTGCTAAGTGAGGTCAGACCTCTTTTGAAGACAAAATATCGCTAGCAAAGTATATTGAATTCATGATGTGGGCGGACCACATGAAGAATTACAAATTGTAATCCCGTGCTCGGAGCACAGGAGTTTACAAAGAAAAGTGAAACTTTGATTTTCTACTGGTAAAACTTCATTAGGTGCTCGGCATTCCAGACGCGGTCTACCAACCGGCATGTTGTTGTCTTCAACTTGTATGTCCTAGGGCCGATCACTGCGTCAACCACGTAAGGGCCCTCCCACTTGACGGAGAGCTTACCTCCCTCTGTCGGCCCGCTGGCCTTCCTACGTGTTAGGACATAATCACCGACGTCAAAACTCCGGGGTCGGGCTCGGCTGTCTTGGTACGCCTTGACTTGTCGTCGATAGTTTTCCGCTTTGATGAAGGCACAGTCTCTTCTTTCCTCAATGAGGTGGAGCTCGGCTCGGAGCCTCTCCTCATTGCTGGCTGGTTCAAACTCTTCCACTCGCCGGCTAGGAACTACAGCCTCGAACGGTGCCCTCGCCTCAAATCCATAACACAAGGCAAAGGGGGTTTCTCCGGTTGCCTTCCTTGGGGTTGTTCTGAAGGTCCAGAGTATATTGTTCAACTCCTCCACCCAGGCAGTCCCGAGGGCCTCCAACTTCTTTTGCAATCCATCGACGATCGTCCGGTTGGTGTTCTCCACCTGTCCATTTGCCTGGGGGTAGCAAACCGCAACTCGGCTGGATTCTACGCCCCACTCTGCACAGAATTGCCGGAAGGCTTCACAGTCAAACTGCCTTCCGTTGTCGGAGATTATTTGGAGGGGAACCCCAAACCGGCAGAAAATATTCTTCCATATGAACTTCTTACATTGGAGATGTGTGATGCTGGCAATCGGCTCAACCTCAACCCACTTCGTAAAGTAGTCCACCGCGACGATGACAAACTTCCGGTTTCCCGACCCGGTTGGTAAGGGACCGACCAGGTCAACACCCCATCTTGTGAATGGAAGGGCGGTGCTGATTGGTGTGTACATCGTTACTGGTCGGCCGGGGCTCTTCTGGAACTTCTGGCATGTCTCACATTTCCTTGCATAGTCAGCGCAATCCTTCATTATTGTTGGCCAAATGTACCCCTGGAGGACGACCTTCCTAGCTAACGTGCCTGCCCCCTGATGGGCGGAGCACACACCCCCATGGAGTTCAGAGACGATCATGTCCGCCTCATGTGGGCGTAAACACTTCAGCAAGGTCCCATTGTAGGACCTCTTGTACAGCTTCCCTTCCAAGACGACGTAGCCCGGAGCTCGTCGCCGGACTAACCTTGCCTCCTCTTCTTTATCGGGGAGCGTCCCGTCGGCCATGTAGCGCAGGAGGTCATCCACCCAACACCAGGCGACTGGTTGCAGGGGAGGGACGTCAATGGACGGTGAGGCTGATATGCTTGAGGTCGTCATCTCCTCAATGCGTGCAATTCTCGATATGTGTTCAGGCAATCCTTGGGATAGCTTTGAGAGGAGGTCTGCATCGGAGTTTTGATTTCTCGGGATGCAGATCAACTCTGCTTGCTTGAACAACCCGAGCAACTCCCGAACAGCATCTCAGTACTTCATCATTCTTTCTTCCTTCGCTTCGAACTCACCTTTGACCTGGGAAACCACCGGGCGGGAGTCACATTTCACCGTTATCCACTCTACTCCCATGGCGGCTGCCAGTCGTAGCCCAGACAGTAGGGCCTCGTACTCCACCTCATTGTTGGAGACTTTGAAAAGATAGCGGTAGTCATAGTAGGCTCGGAATCCCTCAGGTGAGATGAGGACGATTCCGCCCCCGCATCCCTTGGCTCCTGCCGACCCATCAGTCGCTAGAGTCCACCACTGTTCATTGCTCTCTTGTTGCCTATCTGCCACCTCTCGGGCCGTGCATTCCACAATGAAATCAGCCAGAGCCTGGCCTTTGATGGACGTCCGAGGCTGGAAGTCAACCTCATATTGGTTGAGAAGCATCGACCACTTCACTACCCGGGTAGTGTCGGGCGCCCTCAGAGTGGCACCTAGGGGTTGGTCCGACAGGATTCTGATCGGGTGCGCTTGGAAGTAGTGTGTCAACTTCTTGGCAGTGATGTAGGCGGCATATATGGTCTTCTCGAGCGGGGTGTACCGGAGCTCAGCATTCTGGAGGGTCTTGCTCACATAGTAGACGGGACGCTGAACGCCTTCCTCCTCGCGAACCAGCACGGAATTGATTGCGCCTTGGGAAACCCCAAGATAAAGGATTAACGTCTCCCCCTCTCCGGCTTGCTGAGTAAAGGCTCAGAGAGGAGGTACTTCTTCAGGTCGTTGAAGGCTCGTTGACACTCATCATTCCAGACGAAACCATTTTGTTTCTTTAGGACCTGGAAGAAGGGTACGAACTTCTCGGCGGACTTGGACATGAAGCGTCCAAGGGCTGCTAGCCGGACGGTGAGAATCTGGACTTCTTTCAACGACCTCGGGGGTTCCATGTCAAGTATTGCCCTTACCTTCTCAGGATTTGGCTCAATCCCCCTCCGTGTGACCATGTACCCTAGGAACTTGCCTCCTTGGACGGCAAAGGTACATTTCTTCGGGTTCAGGCGCAGACGGACTGCCTTCATGATCCCGAAGATCTCTGCCAAATCATCTGCATGATCGGACGCCCGGGTGCTCTTGACGATCATGTCGTCAACATACGCCTCCATGTTCCTTCCGAGCACCTTCCGGAATACCTTGGCCACCATCATCGTGTACGTCGCCCCAGAGTTCTTCAGCCCGAAGGCCATGACAAGATAACAAAAAATCCCCTCTGGGGTGACGAACGAGGTCTTCTCCGCATCTTCTTCATGCATGAAAATCTGATGGTATCCTTGAAAAGCGTCCATGAAGCTAAGGAGCTCACATCCGGCCGTCCCATCGACTAGTTGGTCGATGTTAGGCAATGGGAATGGATCCATCGGACATGCCTTGTTGAGATCGGTGTAATCAACACACATCCTCCAGGTTGGCGGTTTCGGGGCCAGGACCACGTTTGCCAGCCAGACCGGGTACAAGACCTCCCGGATATGCTTGATACTCAGGAGCATGTTGACCTCCTTCTTCACGAATTCCCTCGTCTCGGTTGAGAGGTGTCTTCTTTTCTGCTGGATGGGCTTCGCCGTTGGATTGACCGCCAGCCGATGGAAAGCGATGCTTCGGTCAAGGCCAGGCATGTCCTCCGGTCCCCACGCGAAGACAACGCTAAAAAGGACAAGTACCTGGATAATCTTCTCCCTCAAGCCGGCCGGGAGCCCGGTCCCGATCTTGACCTTCCGCTCCGGCCTCTCGGGGTCAATCTGGATCTCCTCTGCTTCTGAGGTGGGTTCAGATAGCAGCTCCTCGCCATTCGCTGATCTCCCCTGGCAACTCCGACGCCATTCGGAGTGGGAAACTTCATGCATAGGTGCTCCTGGGATATCACACATCTGAGGTTTTCCAGGGCCGGCCTTCCCATGATGATCTTATGCGCACAAGTTAGGCGTACGATGATAAACTCGACGTCTAACTTGGATACGCAGGGCTCGGAGCCCACCATCACGGGGAGGACTATGCTGCCCTCCGACTCAATGGAGTCCCCGGTGAAGCCCGAGAGTGGGGTTCTCACCGGGATCAAGTCTTTTCGGTCCAGCCCGAGACCTTGGAAGGTGTCATAGTACATGATGTTAACGGAGCTCCCATTGTCCACCAGGACTCGGTGGACGATCGTGTTGTTGATTTCGACCTTGATGACCAAGGCATCCCTGTGCGGCGGAGGCATCGGTGGCAAATCTGCGTCGGTGAAGAAGATGGGGTCCCTCTTCACCCTCTTGTCGGCGGGAGCCCTGATTATCTCCCCGATGTATAGGGCTCGGGCCCACTGCTTCCGCTCTCCAGAGGTGTCGCCTCCCTGGGGTCCCCCGAATATGAATGAACATCGATGGTACTTCCGGGGGCCGTTCCCTAGGTCGGCATCGTCTTCCTCGGAGAAGGCGTCGAGCTCTCGCTTCTTGGCAGGCGGTGTCTCCTTTGACGTGGTAGCTTGGTCGGACCGCTGCCACGTCAGGCTCCTCTTTTGCGGGATGCCTCCTTGTTTGCCAACGAATTGGCCCAGGTACCCTTTCTGGATGAGTTCTTTAATTTGCCACCGGAGAATGACGCAATCATCTGTATCATGCCCTGCTCTCCGATGGAATCAACAATATTGGTCGTGGTTGCGCTTGGCAGTCACCACATCACACTCCTCGGGAAAGTCGACTAAACCTTGCTCCTCCGCGTAGTCGAGGATGGCCCCGACC